CCTCATGGTCCGAGGTGGAGATGGGTCAGTGTCACCTCATGGTCCGAGGTGGAGATGGGTCAGTGTCACCTCATGGTCCGAGGTGGAGATGGGTCAGTGTCACCTCATGGTCCGAGGTGGAGATGGGTCAGTGTCACCTCATGGTCCGAGGTGGAGATGGGTCAGTGTCACCTCATGGTCCGAGGTGGAGATGGGTCAGTGTCACCTCATGGTCCGAGGTGGAGATGGGTCAGTGTCACCTCATGGTCCGAGGTGGAGATGGGTCAGTGTCACCTCATGGTCCGAGGTGGAGATGGGTCAGTGTCACCTCATGGTCCGAGGTGGAGATGGGTCAGTGTCACCTCATGGTCCGAGGTGGAGATGGGTCAGTGTCACCTCATGGTCCGAGGTGGAGATGGGTCAGTGTCACCTCATGGTCCGAGGTGGAGATGGGTCAGTGTCACCTCATGGTCCGAGGTGGAGATGGGTCAGTGTCACCTCATGGTCCGAGGTGGAGATGGGTCAGTGTCACCTCATGGTCCGAGGTGGAGATGGGTCAGTGTCACCTCATGGTCCGAGGTGGAGATGGGTCAGTGTCACCTCATGGTCCGAGGTGGAGATGGGTCAGTGTCACCTCATGGTCCGAGGTGGAGATGGGTCAGTGTCACCTCATGGTCCGAGGTGGAGATGGGTCAGTGTCACCTCATGGTCCGAGGTGGAGATGGGTCAGTGTCACCTCATGGTCCGAGGTGGAGATGGGTCAGTGTCACCTCATGGTCCGAGGTGGAGATGGGTCAGTGTCACCTCATGGTTTGAGGTGGGTCATTGTTCCCTGGCAGTGATGAGATGGGGTAGATGGAGGTTGCTGTCAGCTCATGGCTTGAGGTGGAGGTGGGTCACTGTCACCTCACGGTCTGAGGTGGAGGTGGGTTGGTATCACCTCATGGTCTGAGGTGGGTCACAGTCCCCTAGCTGAGGTGAGGTGGATGGGCACTGCTGTCACCTCGTGGTCTGAGGTGGACATTGGTCAGTGTCACCTCATGGTTTGAGGTGGGTCATTGTCACCTGGCTGAGGTGGGACTGATGGGGGTCACTGTCACCTCATGGTCTAAGATGGATGGGCGTCAGTGTCACCTCCTGGTTTGAGGCAGAGGTGGGTCACTGTCCCCTGGCTGAGGTGGGGCAGCTGTGGGTTGCTGTTAGCTCATGGTCTGAGATGGACGTGGGTCAGTGTCACCTCGTGGTCGAAGGCGGTTGTAGTCAGTGCGGTGTTCCCCACGTGGAGAAGGGGAGATTTGGGGGCTGCTCCCTCTTTGGGTGAGGAGAGACCCAAAGGAAGGAGAGATTCCCACAAAGTGAGCCTGGGGGGCTGAGGTGAGGAATTGGGGGTCGTTGTCACTTCACAGTCCGAGGTGGATGTGGGTCAGTGCTCCCCTGAGTGGAGGAAGTGGGAGGACCCTCCTTGTGCTGAGGGGACGTCCAAGGGGAAGAGAAGTTCCCCCCAAATGTGTCTGTGGGGCTGAGGTGGGAGAAGTGGGGTTTGTTGGTCCAAGCAGGATGTGGGTCAGTGTCCTCCATGTGGAGTTTTGGCGTGACCCCTGCTTCACTGAGAGCCCCGAAGAGAGGAGAGATGCCCCCCCAAAGGAGTGTGTGGGGCTGGAGGGAGGGGAATGGGGGCTGCTGTCACCTCGTGGCCTGGAGGGGACATGGGTCAGTGCTCCCCACAAGCGTGAGGGGTGGAGGGTGTTCTAGCTCTGTGGGGCTGTAGATGGTGCCCCAAGGGATGGGGTGGGCTCTTGCTACCCCACAGACATGGGGCAGGACAAGGAGCAGGGGAGGATGGAGCTGCTCTTCCCGACGGGAGCTGGAGGGAGAGTCACCCCACGGGTGACAGCGAGGAGACAGGCCCGGGGCTGGGGGTGACCCTCGTATCCAGCACTGCAGAGGGAGGTCCAGTGGCCCTGGGGAGGGCTTGCCCCACCAGTCCCCTTCTGGGGCTTAGGGCAGGGGCAAGGGGGAGCCCTCACAGAAGGCAGGGGGCTGCTCCAGAGAAGGTCTGCGGGGGGGCTGATGGCAGACCCCCGACATGCTGTTTCCAGAGGGTTGGTGTTCTGGAGTGGATCGAACCCCCCCTCCCCCGGTAGATGATGAGAGGAGTGAGGGTCACATCCATCCCTGAGAGCTTCTCCTCACTCGGCAGAGGGGGACCCCCCCCCTCCCCTGCACCGAATGAGCAGGTTGTGGGAGTGGAAAAACGCAGCGTGATGCCTCGGCTGTGGCTTTAGCGAAAGGAGAAACCTTTTCCCTCGGCCAGGCGGTGGGGGAGTGAGGACGTTAGGGCTGCCAGTGTGAGGCTGAAGGTCAGGGACAGGGAATGTTTCCTTCTAGCAGGAGAGGTCCTGGGGTAGAGGAGCCGTTGGCCAGAGGAAGAGTCTGGGAAGTGACCCCCGGGGCTCCGTGGGAATAAAAAAGCATCCTCCAGAGTGAGCTGGAAATTGCCTTATCCTCCTCAAAAAGAGATGTGGGAGGAGGCAGGGAGGGATTCTCCGGGATGAAAGCCTGTAGATGCAAACGCTACCACAAGAGATGTCGGGTCTTACGGAAAGGGGTGTTGTAAGGACAACCGTAAAGACCCGGCGTGGCCCAGCATCCTCTGAGATGGGACGTGGTTTAATAGGATGGAAGGGGTGTGAGGTTTGGGTGATGGAGGGTGGAGGGAAGCCTCCGGTTTGTGTCACGGGGTGGTAAATGCTCCCCTCCACCCCACGGATGGGTTAGACTGTAGGGAAGAGGCTGCAGGTGGGTTGGTTGGGTTTTGTAGCTTTTAAAATAATCCTGAGGGAGAAGACACTGAATTATTTTAAGGGGGGAGAAGATGACACGTCATGGTGAAGCAGGAAAAAGGCCTGGAGGGGCTCACTGGAAGGGTTACTATCCTTAGGTTGGTATTTCTCAGCTGATTTAACGGGGCAAAAATAACCTCACTGTTGATTTTAGATTTTTTTTTTTTTTTTTTTCCGGGGTATGGATGAGGAAAAGATGAAGGGGATGGCAGAGAGCAATGATTGATGGGGATGTCGTTTTTGTCCCCTACATCTGGGTAGCCGAAGGGGTTAAGTCGGCTGCCTAATGAAATCGGTGAAGAAGTGGCTGGAGTTAAGATGGAGACAGCATGGTTGAGCCTGGAGGAGGGGTGTGTGGGTGGAGGCAGGGGAGGGCCTTGACACCTCTTCTGAGGACAGGGCTCTCTCGAGATAAAATGAATATACACATCAAAGATTTTTTTTTTTAAATTTTTTTCATAAAGAAGCCGAGGGGGTGGAGGGGAGGGGATCTGTGTGGGAAGGGTGCATGAAATGTATACCTAGGAAATAAGCCCATGAAATCGTGCGGCGCAACAGCAAATACATATTTCTTCTGCATCTTCAATGTCATTTGTGTAGCGGTCTCAACTTCTGCTTGGGGGTTTATTCTTCTTTTTTTTTTTTTTATGGCCAAGATTTGGGCTGGGGGCTGGTGGGAGGGGGATGTCTGCAGGTGATGCATGTGGGGATGATGAATTGGTATGCGACCCTTTCTGCTGCTTTCTCTGGTACTCCCGAGTGCTGATCCCATCAGCAAAAGCAGTTCTCGATGCAGATGCTCCTCTGGCAAGTTAGATTTTTCCCTTCTTGGAGTCAGGCAAGAGGAAATGATCGTGTATTAGCTGTGGTGAAAGCTGGCGTTTGCAGAAACACTCAATGCCATGGCACGCTTGAGTGAGCGGGTGGGGAGGGGGACACAGAAGCGATGGAGGTACAGACAAGGGGGCGTGTGTGTGGAGGGGTGACTTTTTTTTTTTTTTTCTTTGGGTAATATGAAGAAGCAAAGTTGCCCACTTTTCCCTGCTTTGTTAATGCAGAGGAAAAACATTTGTTTCAGAGGTTGTGCAGGGCTGGGACTGCCGAAAGGAACTGAAAAGGAGCTCTGCAGGCTGGAGCATGTTAGGTGAAATAAGGGAGCTTTCACTCCTGTTGATCGCTAATCCCCCTAGCTCACGGCTCCTGCTTTTTAAGGCACGCTGGACAGCGTGGAGCTGACTCCTAGTATCTGGCCAGAGCAAGAATTAACTTCATGGGATCTGTGGGCTAGCCTCCACGAGGGTGTCTTTTTGCATTCCCACTATAGCTATTGCAAACGCCATTAAAATTAATCTTGAATGCGGTGATGGGACTAATACTGGAAAGTGCTGTTTTAGCGGCGTTTGCCTGCAGCTAAATCGCTCCATGCTGGTAAGAAGTTTTTAACGTGGGGACGGAGGAGGAAGACCTAGGATGATGTAAGTTCAGTGCATGATGCACCGAGCCTGGTTTCCTGCATGATCATGGGCACCCCCCGCGACTGCATGTAGTGTAATTGGGGTTGTACATTCTGTAGAGGCTGGCGTGGCTGTTGCTCAGCAGCTGGGAGCAAAGTCGTAGAGAATAGAGGGGGCAGGTTGGAGTTGTGCAGAAATATTCGTCCTGGCTACATTAGGTAATCTGGGTTTTGATTTGGAAGATAACACGATTCCTGAAGGGACTTCTCTTCCTAAATCTTGAGCAGACTTGCCAGTAAGGTGATGAATAAATAGCATTTATGTCAGAAATACAAACATACGTCGGGCTCTTGTTTTAGCAAGATTGTCTTTTTTATTTTGTCAGGATTGTGGAAGTAACTTGTTGGTTTTGAGCAGTATTATGTTCATGTCCTCTGTTGTCTTATTCAGACAATGAATTGTGACCAGGCAGGAGTGCTGGGGGGGGCAGTAAAAATCCTGAGGGGGGGTTAAATGATATTCCTGCTTTTTTGTGGTTGTTTTTTTGCTCAACTGGGAACCAAAGGCTGTGTTAACACTGCCTGCCTATAGTGGCTGCTGGAAAGAAAGTACACATAGACATTGTAAAAACATGTCTCCCTGTGTGTGTATATATATGTGTGTGTGTATATATATATATATTTATTTTTTTTTTTAATTCTTGCTTGAATGATCTCAAACAGCATTCCCACTGATAAAGCTCAGGTCCTGGAGTTTTTACCTTTATAAATCTACAGTTCTCACCTTTCAATCACAAATCCCTTAGATTAGTTTGAGGACTGGAACAATTCAGCCAGACTGTCTGAGAAGTAAAGGACGCCAGTTGGGGCACGTTACTCTCACTATTGAGCTGCTGCACTGCAAGCTGCAGCAGGGCTGTTCATTGAGGAGGGATGTTGCAGTGCTGTGGTTTTGCTGGAAATAGGGTGAAGGCAGGTCAGTTGTCAGAGCTTGCCAGGGCTGTTGCTTTTGCTGAAGCCATTCAGCTGTGTAAATTCTGGAGAGAGAGTTTTGACTTGAAGTTTTCGTTGCACAAGTTGTATTAATGACAAGAGTAAAACTTCTATGTCTGCTGTTTAACCTCTGTTATAAGTGGGTTAGTGGGTTGTAATCGCTGTCCTGGAATACAAGGTTTAGAGTATGAAGTATGATCCTTCGTGTTGTGGCATGCTGTTAAAGCAAACATTATTGGATTCCATTGGATTAACAGTGTGTGGAGTTTGAGCTAAAATGAATGCTGATCAGCTGGAAATTGCTCTGTGTCAAACTGTCAGTAATGGTAAGTTTTGTGACTTGAATGTAATATGTCTGTGGGTCTTGTTTTTAAAACTGATTTAGATACATATTTAGAAGAAAAACATTCTGGAAAAAAAAAAAAAAACCAAACCACAACAAACTAAACAGACCAGAACAACCCTTGACACAGTTTTGACATTAAAACCACCTTGTGCGTTTGTGTGATTAAAAGAAAAATTCCTAAAATTTAAGCGAAGACTTGACATCTTATTAGTGGAAAGACCAAATCTATTATGAGTTATTCATCTTTAGGCATTCCCGGAGGTGGAAGGATGAATCAGTGGGTTTAAATGGAATATGTGGTATTTAATGACTATGTAATGAGTGGGTTTAAGGCTCTACTAAAATACTTTGTTCTGGGATGAGCTGCGAGTTAGATACCTGCTACTTCGGATAGTTTGGAAATACAGGCGACTACAACTCTTAAGATACCTGCCCGAGTCCCTTGAAGTGGGAGGCATCTGCTTGTCAAATGACAGATGAACGAGAACCTGCTGACCTAATCCTGCCGCATTGTCTTGGTTTGGGATGTTCAGCTCTTGTAGAGCCTGTCTGTAAATTTACAGCCTGCTCTGGCACACTCGAATATTTTTTTCAGCTTTTTCTGGTTAG